AATGAAACTTACTTATATCTAATTTCATCTATATACTTTTTAGGCCAGTTATAAGCGTTAAAGTAATTTTCTGAAGGGGACCTTAAATAGGGGAGTAGGGTCAATTATGGGTCGATCCTCATAAAATTTTGTAGATAGAATTTGGTTCGTATCAAATTTATTTGTGTCGAATTTTATCGCTACACTCGTATTTTTAAGTCATTAATGAGCGTTGCCGTCATTTTCTGAAGGGGACCTTATATGGGGGGTAGGGTCAATCATGGACCGATCCTTATAAAATTTTTTAGATAGATTTTTGACTCGTATGAAACTTACTTATATCGAATTTCATCTATATACTAGTATTTTTAAGCCAGTATTGAGCGTTAAAGTCATTTTCTGAAGGGGATCTTTTTTGGGGGGGGGGGGGTAGGGTCAATTATGGACCGATCCTCATAAAATTTTGCATAGTGATTTTGGATAACAAGAAACTTACTTATGTCGAATTTCATCGCTATATTCGTATTTTTAAACAAGTTATGGCTGTTAAAGCTGCTTTTCGAGGGGCCACTTGTATGGGGGCTATCCGAAAACGTGGACCGATATTGCCCATTTTCAATACCAAACAAACCTTACCTATAAGAAATACTTATGTGAAATTTCAACCCTCTAGCTCTTTCCATTCGGACTCTATCGTGCTTTCGACAGACAGACAGACAGACAGACAGACAGACAGACGGACGGACAGACATGGCTAGATCGTCTTAGAATTTAATGAGGACCCAGAATATATATACTTTTGTGGGTCTATGACCAATATTTCGATGTGTTACAAACGGAATGACAAAATCAATATACCCCCCATCTTTTTTGATGGTGGGTATAAAAACCATTCGACGCAACAAAAGCTGAACTAAAAATATGGGTGAGAGAATCCCATAAGGACTCTTGGAATAATGAAACAGTGGGTAGAACCACAAAGATCCTATGGGGTGACCCTGATGAGAGCAAGACGAAAAATCTCCTCAAAAATGAGCAAGTCTGAAGTTAGTATGATGGTACTTCTTTTGAGTGGACACGCAGGATTACGAGCACATCTATGCAAAATTGGACGTGCGGATTCAGACGAGAGGACAGTGAAACTTTAAAGCACTTTCTTTACCACTGCCAGGCATTCGTCAAAGTTAGAAGTTCCAAGTATCTTGGAAGTGATGATATTACGGAAATAACATTCCTGACTAACACTGATTGGAAGATTCTTAGGAATTACGTTCAGGAAACTAAGTTTATGAACACTGAAAAATAATTCATTCAGTTCACTTTTTTTCATGATAAGGAGCGCACAACAGGCCCGATAGTGGCCTAGGTGTATTTCTTCGGATTTGATGCAGTATACATCCTCCTATCAACCTATCTGCCTACCTAATTTTGTCTGTATCTTCTTGCCCAGGAAGCAAGGTTCAGTATACGTAGAAATGTTTGTCTTTCTTGTGAAGAGACAGATTTCTGTCTTCGCCGGGTTAACATTAAGGCCTCTCGGTTGAGCTCAGCTCAAGGCCGTATTCAGAGCCTCCTCAGCTCTTCTACACAATTAATTTGGATCCTTTCGCTTTAAAAGTATTACGACATCTATTAGTCGTGGTAACCCAGAGTAAAGATGACAAATGACAAAAATGCCACAATGTGGTATAACGCGAAATAACTTTTTCCTAATAGTAATATCGTACACCTCGCAGCTTATTCATCTGGTGCTTAGCATGTAGTTGATCCAGTTACGAAGCACCCGGTCAACAAAAAACTGGTCTAGGGATTGGATAAGAGTATCAGTGTGCATGTTTTTGAAAGCGCCTTCGACGTCAATGTATACAGTTTGCTATCGAAGGATTCACCTAAGTAGTGAACAACTTCGTTTAAAAGAACACCAGTTAATTCCAATTTAATTTTTTGTTTGTTATTTAAATGTTTTTTGTTTTAAATTTTTTTCGTTTTTGTTTATTTTAAAAATGTTAAAATGAAAAAATTTGTACGACAATTGATTTTCAAGCGGCCGTGCGGAAAAGTTGAACAATATTCAACTTTGCCTCATTGCCGCGTCGCTCATCATTGCCAAATCAAAATATTCGTAATGTGTCAATATTTTTTTAAAGCTGGTAATGCTGCTGCCGCTTGAAGCCGTTTCTATGAAGCTATGTTTCCCTGGCTGTCCTCTAACGATTCAACCAGGGCACTTGTGAGCATTTCTACTTTGGCGTCTATGACCTCTTTATTTCGACATTGAAAAGTGTCCTGACATAAACGGTTATTTAGTAAGGAACCGAACATTGTCCAATTAGTTTTAGACTTATTCCGAAACTTTATCGGCTTTGATGGCGGCCGTTGTATTTTGAATCTTATGTACCGATGGTCAGAAAAGGAGTACTCGTCTGAAACTCTCCAATCCAGAAATAAGCTCTTCTGAACATATAGTTATATCTAATATTTCCTCTCTGATTCTATTGACGATGGTAGCTTTATTACCTGAGTTCGATGTGATCAAGTCTTTAGTATTAAAGAAATCCATGAGGGCTCTTCCTCTGCGATTGGTATTTGTACTACCACAAGCTACATGGTGGGAGTTGACATCACAACCTATTACAATTTTATTATTTTTTCCTTTGTGCCTCTTCAACCAGTTTCATCAGCTCCGACGTTGGTGGTAGTCGGAGAATCGAAAGGTAGGTAAACATATACAAGGTATATGTTGCCACGACCTTGCTTCAGCTCCGTTGCATCCGATGTGGATAATCCTGTTGAGAGGAGAAAACATAAGTTCTTGTGACATAAGATACATATTCTCGGTCGCGACCCTGTATCAGCGTAGAAAAGTTGGAAATTTACGTGATTTAATCCTGTGTTAATTTTAGCCATCGGAGCGTTGGTAGGCGTCTCGCTCCGATAGAAGTTTATTTGGATAACCTCAATCATTGTCATCCATTTAAACTGTCTTCCAGCGAGTTAGTGATCACCTCCCCGATCGTTGGATTTGACTCCTCCGGTAACCTGAAGGGGTATTGATGCAGTGGGTACCATTAATGGCACTGCGGTGTCCTTATCAGGTATAGGAAGAGCAGTCTTTTTATTCGACACTTTCCCAATTTTGGACAGCATTGCTGTTTTGCCTTCTGGCGAGTGAGTGATTTCCTCCTTGCTTTTAGGATTTGACTCCTCAAAATGACCAGTACTTGCTAATGATGCTTTGAGTACTGTCTTAGGTGTTTTAGTGACCTTATCGGGGCGGTTTTGATAGCCCTTTCAAACGGCACCTCCCCAGTTTTGGAAAGGGCAGCTGCACCTTCTTTTGTCGAGTTAGCGATACCTTCCTCGCATTTAGGATTTGACTCCTTAACGTTATCAGTTGTTGCTACTGGTGCTGTGGTCTTAGGTATTTTAGTGTCCTTTTCGAGTCTTGCTGTAACAGCTCTTCCAATCGGCACCTTCCCAATTTTGAATATGACAGCTTTAGAGGCGAAGTAAGCCCTACCTTTTTTCTTGGCAAGACTAGCCATAGATTTTTGGTCGATACCTATTACAAATAATGTTTCCTCAGGTTCCTCTTTCCTGTAAAAGACGTCCCATTTTTCCACGGCCAGCTTAGCATTTTGACCACCAAGAATTTTAAGTATACGTTCATTAGCCAGTTTACTGCCCCATCCTTTTATGTAGACAGTGGACTTTAAGAGCGTCGGAAGCTCGCTCTTCTTTGCCAGTCCCAGCTTAGCGCCGTCCCAGGGAGGGCGGATACTTTCCACAAAGTTCTTTAAGTTGCTAGCACATTGGTGAGATGCCAACCTCATCAACATCACGCCCATGCTGAACTCGCCGCTCACGTTCTCTGTTGGTTGTTTGCCTTTTGAAGCGATTGCGTGGTACACTATCTTATTGTTGACCAGGTCTTCTATTATACTCTGTTGTTCTATTAGAATTTTGCCTGTTGGATTACCGGCATCGTAAACTGCATAGCAGATATCATCCCGGTGTCTTCTTCTGGCAACTTTGGCGTAAGATGGCGGCTCTTTTCCTTTTCCACTGTCTGGACTCTCTTTCCTCGATTTTCGGGGCTTCTTTTGAGATACCCGTACTTTCGAAGTTGATTTCGCCGATGTGGTCGTCTTCGGAATATCTATCTTGGCGTTGTGAACCTTACTCGCAGGATTCTGATTTGAGGTTCGTTTGAGTGAAGTATGGCTTGGCTTCGACTGTGTATTAGAAGACGGGGAGCTCTTTTTCTTCTTAGGTTTATTCTCAGTTGTCAACTCCTCGGTAGGCCTGATCCTCTTTGCCTCAGATCTTGTGAGAGTCCGATTTTTCCTTTGGAGTGTCGTTCGATGGACTAACTATGATTTCCTGAAGCATCTTTTTCAACTTCCTCCTCTGTGCTCCATATGGTATTTTCTTAGTAATAGGTAGTTAAGCTATGCTATCACTCACTTGTTTCACCATTTGCTCTACTTCATCCTTTTTGGGATTTACTATAATGGTGTTGTTATTATCATCTGTGGATTCAGAGTCGGTGTCCTCTGAGCTCTCTCCGCATACATCCTTCTCTTTCACCCCTATGTTTTTGCCAATGGCATGCTGTACACTTGACGCAATGTCCGCCACGGAGTCCAAGGTACCCACCTCCGTAGTAGCACTTTGCTCACGACTGCAGGATGACCACGACATGTGACTCGCGAGTAGATCAACACTTGCCGCCGGTACTGGGTTATTTAGGCCCTGCACCGTAACTTTCATATTTTTATTTTCCATGTTTGTTTTTATCCCATTTTTTTGGTCCGCGGGGAATATAATATTCCTTGGTGGTGGACAATCTGCCCTCCCTCAGCTTAAGTGGCACTAAAGCTGGGAGAGGACAGATGGTCCATCACCACCCCCTATCCGCCACCCGGGGACTGGCCGCCAAAATTCGCAACCTCGTTTTTTGGAGCACTCTAATACATACATATGAATAATATTAACAACATTAAAATTTTATTTTTCAGACTTCAAGTGATGGAAACCAAACAACAAGTACTCTGTCTATATCGTTTAGCAAAACAGATGCTGGTAAATTACTAACATGTAAAGCCTATAACCACGCAGTTCCCACGGAACCATTAGAAGATGGTTGGAAGCTTGATATACAGTGTAAGTTTTAGTTTTTTTTTACCAAGTTCATTTTTTGTTATGAAGGGTATTTTCCTTAATTATTTCAAAACTTTACAAATATGGTTAATTATTGGAGAATAAAAAATTAATGTTGGACTGTAACACTAGTTTACAACGATTTTGCTCATGATATCAAACCTATACGGTTTTTTTTAATTTGTCCTTCTAAGTCCAGAAAAAATATTCAAAAAAATGTAGGACGTTAAATTTTTGAATTATTCATAAAGAAAGAAAATGCTAAAAAAGGGTTAAATTAGGAGGACAAAATTAAATATTTAGGGATGTAGTTATTTTGTATACAAAAAACTCTCATAACTCTGTAACAAAATTATCAAAAAAAATACTAAAAATCGGGCAAAAATAAAGAAATCTGATAAAAAGTGGGTTAATAAAGACGTACATTTTATATTATTGATTTTATGTTCTAAGTTGATTGTAAGGTTCCCAAAACAGGTGCCAGCACCAAGAAATCCATTCTCATTTTCAAATATTTTTTCCATTACTAGAGGAGAAGGGTGCCAACAAAAACCACTTTATCTCAAAATGTCGACGTATAGGAAAAAAAATAAAAACTGTTAATTAACAACCGGAGCACTTTCCAAAAATATATGTTTCATTCCATGAGCAAACAAAAAATATTAATTTGTAAACTAGTGTAATTTATAACCATAATATTGCTTTATTTAATTAATAACTCAAATTTATCTTGAGGTTTAAAATAATTATTCCATATTTAAAATTTCCGCAAAAGGTTAAATTACTTAATAATGTAAATTGCCATATTTTTTTGACTTTACAAGCAAAAACGATCTAGCGATCGATTAGAAAACTGATTTATACGTTTACCTATTTCTTGCTTATTTTGTAGCATTTCTAAAATTGCCGATGGTACTTTATTTCAAGGTATTTTTAAATTTTGAAATTTATTAGGTTAGGTTGATAGGAGGATGTATACCATATCAAATCCGAAGAAATACACCTAGGCCACTATCGGGCCTGTTGTGCGCTCCTTTTCATGAAAATAGGTTCACTTAATGAATTATTTTTCAGTGTTCAGAAACTCCGTTTTCTGAACGTAATTCCTAAGAATCTTTCAATCAGTCCTCTTTTGCATGGACGTGCTCGTAATCCTGTGTGTCCACTCAGAATACGTACCATCATACTAACTTCTTGATCATTTTGAGGAGATTTTTCGTCTACCCACTGTTTCATTATTCCAATAGGCCTTATTGGATTCTCTCACCCATATTTTAGTTCAGCTTTTGTTGCGTCGAATGGTTTTGCGTCTGTCAGGTTAACTACCTCGAGCTCCCTTCCCTTTAAAGCTATTATATTCGCCCTTTCGTTGCCGACTACTCCCGAGTGGGCTGGTACCCATATAATGTAAACCTTACCTCTGGGAGAGTATTCAGTTAAACCTTTCCTACAATCCAATGCGGTCTTCAATTTAGTTCTATCACCTGATATCGCCCTAATTTCCTTCTGGATGTCGGTTAATATATTTATCGTTGTGGGCGCCATATTTATTCTAATCCATTGATGACTATAACCGCATTTGGCCAATTCGCCTAAAGTAAAGAGACGTTCGTCTGTGTGCGCCGCCTCATATCTTAAATATGTTTCGATGGGTGGAATATCTAGCAACGCTTCCAAGGCTTTGGTTGAAGTAGTACACATGGCACCACTTATACTCAAGCTGCATGTACGCTGAACTCCCTGTAGTAGTTTGTACACTTTTTGTCCAAAGCAGGATGTAGTTGATCCAGTTACGGAGCACCCGGTCAACTTAAACTGGTTAGGGATTGGATAAGAGTATCAGTTTGCACGTTATTGAAAGCGCCTTCGATGTCAATGCATACAGTTTGTTATCGAACAGATCATCATTTATGAACAAAACCGGTGGTGGCAGTTGGGTCGATGTGCCGCGTAATTTAAATTATTTTGAAGAAACAATTTTACAAATTATGACGGTAGATGCCGTTGATGGTGATGCACGCACGCCAGAATCAGGGATTAATTTAAACGTGAGACTTAAATTTTAAGTTATTACCACTCAATAACTTAAAATTTAAGTCTCAACTAGTAATCTAATAATTAGGGCTCACGATAAAAATGCATTTAGGGATCTAATACTAATGTTTTGTCTTGCTACAAATTCAAAGTAGTCCCACCCCATCCAAACGATGGTGGGTATATTTACAACATTTATATTGTCGGACCGGACACACTCCCTTACATTGTTATTTTTTTAATATTAAATATGAATTAATTATAGTGTTGAGTGTTTAGAAGATGATGAAACATTGTATGCGCCAAAAGTTAAAATTCGAAAGCAGGAACAACCTGATTTGAGGACTCCATTTAGACGTTGTAGTGTATCACTACATACTTCTATTTCTTTTAAAAACTTGTATTATTTACTTTATGTTATTATGTTTTTAAATCAAGTTTTATATTTTTTTATTTTCAAACTTGTCTTTATAATTTTTTCATTCAACAAATAAATTTTGTACAAAGAAGTTATTATAATAAATAAACCTTTTTATAAAATAAAATAACTTCATTGGCGATCCTGCAAATAATTATATGAAATATAAATAGCGAACCAATATTAAAAACAAAATAAATTAACGCAAAAATTAAATAGATGCAAAAATATATAAATTAAATAACAATATTCTCAAGCAATCATTACAAATTCAGCATTCAATTGTGAATAACCCAGCTTTATAATTATATATGTATGTGGTACTTGGATCAATAAATAAATAAAAAAAAAGGAATATTTAAAAAAAATCTTTGCCATTTGAATCTATTAACTCAACAAACATTAAACTTCAAAATACTTCATCAAGAGAAATTGTTCAATTCAAGAAAACTTCAAGATCTCAAACTATTCAAGATTGTTTATCAAGAGAAATTATTCAATTTAAGAAGATATCACTAAATCAGTCTACAAAATAAAGAATAAATATTAGGTATATATTAATAAATAAGTACGTTTGTTTATATACATATTTAATTGTTGTTATAAATAGTAATTTTATCACAATTATAGTGAACATTATATAGAACAAGTTCTTGTTTGTAAACCCTTCACCAGTAATTCATTACATATTTCCAAAATGGTTATTACACGATCAATGAGAGAACTTTTAGCGATTTATTCATCCGTAAAACACTTTAGACACTTCTTAGAGGGAAGAGAATTTTCAATTCTAACAGATCACAAACCCCTTACATATGTGTTGGATTCTAAAGTTGAAAGATCACCACGACAAACACGTCATTTAGAATACATAGCCCAATTTACTTCAAATATATGTTTTATAAATGGAAAGGATAATATTGTAGCCGATACACTTTCTAGACCGCCTGAAATCTTTGCTTTTTCTAACCAAAATATTAACCTTGAAATACTTTATAAAGAACAACAAGCAGATGAGGAATTAAAAAATCTTATAAGTGATAAGAAAACGAAAAATAATTTGAAAGAAGTTGATATTCCATCACATAATTTTAAAATATGGTGTGATATTTTAGATAAAACTAATCGTCCCTTTGTTCCACTCTCTTTAAGAAAAACAGTTTTTCATAATTTACATTCTATATCACACCCAGGAATTCGTGCAACACGAAAACTGATACAAAGTAAATATTTTTGGCCATCAATGCGAAAAGATATAAATTTTATGGCTTCTAATTGCATTGATTGTCAAAAATCAAAGATCCAAAGATATACCAAATCTGACATTGAGAAAATAAATATTCCCCAAGCAAGGTTCGAACACATACACATGGACATCGTCGGACCTTTTCCAGTTTCAAATGGAAACAAATATATTTTGACAATAATTGACAGATTCACTAGATGGCCGGAAGCATACCCAATTAAAGACATTACAGCCCAAACAATAGTAAACACTTTCGCATACAATTATATCCCTAGATTTGGCGTTCCACTTAAAATTACGGTTGACCAAGGAACACAATTTACATCTAAATTATTTAACGATTTAACGAAGCTTTTAGGAACACATAAAATCCATACATCCAGTTATCACCCGCAAGCGAATGGAATGATTGAACGCTTTCATCGACAATTAAAAACTGCTTTTAAATCTAGTAACAATATGGAAAATTGGTCTGAACAATTACCCATTATTTTGATGGGAATTCGATCAACCATAAAGGAAGAACTCAAATGTTGTCCTTCTGAATTAGTTTATGGTCAAACATTGAGACTACCTGGTGATATGGTAGTTAAAAATAATAACATTCCAACTTTTGATGAACTACTCCAAAGATTAAGATCACATTTTAATACAGTTCAAAGCAAAGTTATTCATCATAGTAATAGTAATAATTGTTTTATACCTAAAGATCTTTGGAATTGTGAATATGTTTTTGTTAAAATACTTAGACCGAACAGTTTAGAATGCCCTTATGAAGGACCCTTTAAAGTTATTCAAAAGAATAAAAACACTTTTAATATCCAATGTGGTAATGTTATTAAAACTCACTCAATCGATCTACTAAAACCAGCACATATTGACAAATCAACACAACTATCAAATAATAAACCTAACACAACCTTCCACATTCAATAATAAGTTATTTTTCTTTTAATTCTATTACTGGTGGGGGAGTAATGTAGTGTATCACTACATACTTCTATTTCTTTTAAAAACTTGTATTATTTACTTTATGTTATTATGTTTTTAAATCAAGTTTTATATTTTTTTATTTTCAAACTTGTCTTTATAATTTTTTCATTCAACAAATAAATTTTGTACAAAGAAGTTATTATAATAAATAAACCTTTTTATAAAATAAAATAACTTCAGACGTTCTATACAATTTCTTGCTTTTGCATGAACAAAGTTAAATCGTTTTTCGTCTTCAGTTGTTGTTGAACGATATGGCATTATGATCCAAGGACGTAAGGGGTAGCCTGAATCACCTAATTAAGTAGGCATATATTGTATGTATATATGAAAAATTCCTTAAAAAACAAAAAATACCTAACAGCCGCGTATGATCACTTCTATTTGTTTCAAATCTTTGTTGCAACAGAGCATTAATTAGTGATGCTTCCCAAATGTATGCGTCATGGGATGATCCACCAAACCTAGCAAAACCTCCAAGAATTTTTAAATTCAAATCGCATATCTAAAATATTTTATATATGAAAATGATATTTGTTATTCGCTTTCGATCTTAATCAAATATTATATGTAAATAACGAACCAATTGAACATTTTTTAATTGATATCCCTTTCTGTTCAGATAACAGCTCTCAACGTCAGACCTTGGTCTCTTTATTTGCGCATGAGTGCAATCAACAGCACCTATTACACCCGGAAATCTAGTTTCTTCATAAAACCTAAATAATTATATATACATAAATGCTACATCTACTTTTACTGTTAATTTGTTGTACTTTTGCATTATGGATTCATATTCTTGCGACGTAGGAAATTTAATCCACTTTGGCATTAGTTTTTTTTCGAAAATATCAACAACAAAATATCAGCAACCTAAATAATTATATATACACTAGATTTTTGTACCCGGCGTTGCCCGGGGTTTTAAGTGGTTTCATAACATTATACTTAAGTATTCTCCCGTTAGAGTAAACTAAAAAATGTGCTTTATGTCCATAGAACAATTTCTGAAATTTTTCAACATTTAGAAATATAAAAATTTCGTTGACTTAAATAACATAATATAGCATTTACGAAATGAAAAAAGTTTACTCATTTTATTCCTCACTAAGAGATTAATTCACAATTTTTTTCCAATTTACAAAGCTAAAAGATTCCAAAATTATAATTCTAATAATATCTAGTTAGGTAAAACTATAATATACATAAAGAAATTTTATTGAATTTGAACAATATTTATAAAAGATACCAACACAGTACCAAAAATACTAATGATGATTTGCAAAAACATTTTTCAAAAACACATATTTTGACCGATTACGGTAAAATATTAATAAAAAAATATATATTTCTCAAATTTCATAAAACTACAAAAAATGTAGCAAAGGAACGTATAATAAGCCGTTTTTGCACATTTAGTTTGAATTTCTTTTTTATGTTTTTCCCTCTAGGGGTGGACTTTCGAATACACATATCTCTGAAACTAAAAACTCATCGTCTAAAATATTTTTACTTAAGAACGTAAAAAATCAGACTAAATCATAGAAGTACAAATTTTTCCTGTTTTTTCGACTTTTCTCCTATTTCGAAACGGAACTTTGCTACACAATACATATTTCAGAAAGCTTAATCAGAAATGTTTTTGCTTGAGCACACTGAAAATAATCCATGCTCAACTTTACGAAAAAAATTTCGTAACTTATATATTCGTAATATTTACAAAAATTTCGTGTATAATACGAAATATTACTTAATAAAACCCTTTTCTATTTTTACGAAAGTACGAAAACCTTTCGTAATATTTTTTCATAAATTTTAGCGAAATTAAACATAGTGATATTAAGTATATTATCATTAGATAAAACTACATCATTTTTATAAAATTTAAGAAAAAGTATAATATAATTGACGCACTATTTTCATAAAAAAATTAAAAATTCGTGTGGAGAATAATTTTTAACTAATATTAGAAAAATAATTTTAAAATTAACAAAAATGTTTGCATAAATTAATATTTCGTAAGTTTTACAATATTTATTAAAAATTCACTGTTTTCAATTTATGTAAATAAATTTTTTTTTATTTTGCATTATACTTAAATATTTCGTACAATTTCGTATATATTAGGCATGGATTTTTTTCAGTGTATAAACAATAATTGGTATTTACTTCCATTTTTTGTCTCTTTTTCATCCACATATCCCTTCTTGTCCCTTCTTATCCAAGTTTTGGAAAAGAATATAGTATATCACACCATACACCTATATATCGAACTATGTTTCAAATTTAGTGTAATTAAAAACATTATGCACACGCTAAAGGTCGCAATTTGCAAGATAATTTGATGAATTTGGCACATACTCTTCCAAGGACGAATCCTATTGAAAATGGTTAAAATCGGACCATTATTTCGCATAGCCCCCATACAATCGCACCCCCGAATATGGCTTTTGAGCTCATAAATATGTTAAATGTTCTTGTATCACACCAAAAATCTGCAAAACTAAGTTTTAATGACAGTGCTGATTTTCGCAATGATCGGTCCTCATTTGATCACATCCCCCATATAATGTCCCCTTCATAAAAGTACTTGATGGTTCAAATTCACTTATAAACACTAATATTACGGCGATATTCTACATAAATAACTTTAATGTAGACGTTAATCCCTTTACCAAAATTTATAGGGATAGGCCCCCATATAACTCTCTTTCAGAAAATCCAATATGTCAATAAATTGTTAAAATATTTCTGAAATAAAGTAAAAATTAATTTAAATGTTTTATTATTAAAAAAATAATCAACATTTGTAACGTAATCACTGGTGTAGGGCATCATATCGTCAGCCATGATCAACTATAAATTTTTACTTGTTTATTTATTCCCTGCAGTAGTTTGAATTGTCTGAAAATATGCATTTATTGAGTCTCTTTACGCAGCAAATACAGATTTCCCTTTTTTACCGGCTTTTTCCCCTAAGGGTGGGAGTTCTAAATATATGAACATATGTCTGAGACTATCAAAATCATAGTTTATAATTTTTTGGCTTTAGAATAGAAAAAATCGTTCTTAAAGCACAAAAGTACTAATTTTGTCAGATTTTCGCCATTTGGCCTATTTTTTTTGTCCCCTTCCGGTCCAATTTTCGCAACGGCACTTTATTAATTTATATTTCTAACAAATTAAGTAGTTTAATCGAAAATGATTTTGCTTAAGGATAGACAAAATCAGTATTTACTATCAATAGTACTCATTTTGCCCGTTTTTCACCCTTTACCACCTTTTTGCCCCTTCCAAGTATAGATCTAACCGTGTTCCAAATTTGAAGAAAACCGGTCCAGCCGCTTAGGCGTGATTGACGTACAAACAAACACGAACAGACTTACAAAGAGATTTATAATATATATTAGGATAAATACTACATCTACTTTTACTGTTAATTTAATGTACTTTTGCTTTATGGATTCATATTCTTGCGACGTAGGAAATTTAATCCACTTTGGCATTAGTTTCCAAATTATCAGCAACTTCGTGAATACATCGGCATTGTCTTGCTAATTGAGGCTGCAAAGTCTTGGCCTATATCTAAATAGAAAGAGCCGGTAGCAAAAAAATGAAGGGTAGTACACATACAAATATGTTGTGGTATGAATGTAATTTTAACACCCTTTTTCATAAAAGGGCTAATGTCGTTGAATCCCATGAGAAATAATGGGATTTTTTGTTCCATATTTTTTGTTGTAAGAAATTCTCACAGAAAAATACAGAAACGAGGCACTGTTTAATTAACATTTTCATTTGACCATTCATTATGCTCCAGTAACATGAAAACTACACTTGTTGTTAGATAGTATTGGCAAAACCTCATTGCCATCACACTCAAGTACTACTTTTGTTTCACTGAATTAGCTGAAAATACATATTGATCAAATAAGTTTAGCTTTTTCGCCTCACGAACTGTGTCTGCATTTTCATATAAATAAATATCTATATAACCTTTCGGTTGGCCCCTTTTAGATATATTCACTAACAGTTTTTTAAGGTGGCGTGTCATAATGTCCACGGACGTTATTTCATTAATTTCAGTATCGCATCATTTCAATCATTGCTGTTAAAAACTGTCATACGGGATCATCGTGTTGTACATAAAACATAAGAGGAAAAAGAAAATGAAAATTACGGATTTCGTCTGCTTTTCCTGGTTTTTTTTTTTCATTTTTAAATCCAAGATTGGTAAAGAGAGTAATAATT